TAAACTTTCCCGAAGATGAAGAACCTTCTGCTGTCTTTTTCCAACCGTGCCGAGGTGACGGGGCTTCGAATCCAGACTTCGTTTATTTGAATCAAGGATCGTCCAAATACCCATTCTTTTACGTGTATGATTATATGTTCCGGGATCTGAAGATATCCCTCCCTTTTGACGATTACTTCATGAGTATACTTCGACTTCTTAATGTGGCGCCGAGCCAACTTCACCCGAACACCTGGGCCGCTATGCAAGGGTTTAGGCATTTGTGTCTAGCCCTCGGTCTCCAACCCACTCCACATCTATTCCTGCACTTCTATACGTCTCGGCCGACGAAAAAGGCTAAGTGGCTGTCGTTGATTCGTCACAATGATTGCTTGCTGCAACCTTTTACCACCTCGTACAAAAAATTTAAAGTGGGATTTATGAAGGTGATGATTCGGCCAGAACCAGGAAAAAAGTATTTCTTTGATGCCGAAGGGAATCCCCTATTTCCCTTGTATTGGACCCGGAAGCCGCGCAAGTACGACACGGTTTCCAAATCACGCATGTCCCCGGAGGAGAGAATGAGTCTAAGTTTTTTAGACAAACTACCTCGGCCTCTACCATGTCGTCCTCTGATCCGGTTGTTTGAATCGGCCGATGTAGTCGAGGAACTAATTGGTATAGTACTTTTCTTATTTAATTAAATTTGTGTGTTATCATTGATTTTGACTAATAATGTGCAGGTATAATGGCTGCCCATGGAGATGACGATCTAGACATCCGTAACCTGATCCGGAATCAATTGGCGGCGACTATTGGAAACAAGACTTCAGCCCCGATGGGTGGGAATCAAGCTACCGTCCAAGCTGGTGGGGTAGGGTCTTCGGCTCGGAAAAAGAAACCCACTCGGCCCCAACCTGAAAAAAGAAGGCCGGATGCAAGGGCCGAGGAAGAAAGTCGCCGGGCCAAACAACGCCGAGTGGCTAGCCCCCCTGTTCCAGAAGGTCTATCTTCGCCAAGTTTTTTGGCCGGGAACGTCAACGCTCAGGATTTCCTGAGTCAAGACTTAACTTCTGAAGCCGGCCAAGGGATGCTGAGTCGCATGAGCTCGGCTCAAAAATGGAGCTTCTTCTGCGAGTTCCAAGTGCGGGCCGTGGCAATGGCCCAAAGCATAGTTATGCAGCCGAACGGCGAGGCTGATGGGCTGCGCCGGCAGCTTGCTGAGCAGGAGAAGTATCTTCAAGAGACGTTGGCGGCTTTAACAGACGCTCAAACATCCAACAGCAAGTACCAGGCTGAAATGGATCGCAGAGGGCGGGTTGCCGACGACTTGGCCTTGAAGGTTCAGCGTCTCGAACTTGCTTTGAAGACCGAGACCGACAAGGTTACTGCTCTAGGGAAGGGGTTGGATGCTGAGAAGACCGCTTTCGAGGCCTATAAGGAGAAAGCGCGTGCCAAGGTCCTTAGCCAGCATCAGGCCGGCTTTGCCCAAGCGGCTCGGCAAACCTGTCATTTCGGCGACTTTCTGCCAGACTTCCATCTTGACATGACGAAAGATTTCTTTCA